AATGTATTTTTCTTTTCTTTTAACTATCATATTAAGGATATAAAAAAAATGAATGTGGTCCATTTTATTCATTACAAAATATTCATAGTTGAATATTTTTTAAACCAGAACGATAATTTAAAATAACTTTAAACAAAGCATGGCACGACTATTTATGTATCTTCTTACAGATACATTTTTAAAAGATTATTTTTAATTTTCTACAATTCATTTTATGTAATACAAATTCTCAGATAATAATAGAAATCGAACTTCGGTAAATTAATATAAGTATAAAAAAATATCAATTTTTATTGTAGGTACTATTAAAAAGCAATAAATATATAGAAAAAGGGATACTCTACAAACATCTTAAGCCCTGGCTTTCTTATGGATTACTTATTAGCGGCGGTAAGCAATTTAAAATACTAACAAGAATAACATATACAATATATCTCAAATAAAGATGCCTAAGTAATAAAGTAAAATCGTGTTTAATATAAACACTTCTTTATTTGTCTATGCCTTGCAAAGGACAATCTATTTTTCTTCTATTTTTCCAACACTTCCGTCTTTCTTACTGACAATTGGCGTATTTTATTTTCCTTCACTCTAACGCATATTTCGAGAAAGTTCGATCGGTAAATTATTATTAATATAAACTGGTTCGATAAAGGTAAAACTAATTCCAGGGCGCTTATTTATTATTATACTAGTGTGAGCTAAATGTTGTTACATTATCGACCAACTGATAATGTTTTTTAGTACTCTTAACGTTCATAAATATATACATACTAACAATTGAACACCATATACCATATAAATCTTGTATACACCTTTACAATAAAAAGAGAATGAAACGCAATTTGTCACCTGATGCTTTTCAATATATTTAATAATATTTTTAATATAACTTAATATTTGACAGGTAAAAAATGGCAAATACGAAGAAAGATGTTAACTTCTGCATTTCACTTCAATATCCTTAAACATAACATTACTAATTTAAATAAGGAATCACAAAATCTCGTCGAATCTCTTAAAAAGGAGGCAGATGGAAATCCTATTGTCAAAGATTTACGAACATTTATCAGCAAGTACACTCTCAACGCAATATGCCGTTAGTGAAAAAACAACATTTTCTGTATATGTAATTAATAATATTACCAATAAATTTTATTTTTGAGTCTTCTTTGCAGAAACAGCTTTGGGTACCCAATTGACAGGAAAAAACGAGCTGGAATCGGAATATCGTAATGCTGTTCATGTTTATAACAGAATTGTGATATATAGGTAATTCATTAAAATTTCGTTAAAAAAAGAAGTCAATATAATAAAGAATATGATTCATTTTTTATTAGAATATTAAGACCTTGGTGCTTTTTCGATAGTATTTTTGCATTAACACCACTCGGTAGAGTACAAAAAGAAGCGTTGAAAACGTTGCACAATTTTTCGAGAAATGTACGTATTTCGTAATAATCATTTATATCTACGTTTTTTTAAAATTTCTAGATAAGGAATGTGTTACATTTATTTCAGATTATTGCGGAAAGGAAACGTTTTCATAAACAAACTAATGGGAAATATTTGCTAATCAATAAGAATATTGAAAAGGATGACGTTTCTTATAATGATCCGGAGAAGGACGATGAGTGTATTCAAATTTTTTAAATAAAAATAAAGTTATTTGAAGAATCAAGGTCACTAGAATTTTTATGTTACAGATTTGCAGTCCAAGGAAAGATTTTCTATGCTAGATTTGCTCATAGCCGCATCTTGGAATGATAATCAAATAGATGACGAAGGAATTCGTGAAGAAGTTGATACTTTTATGTTTGAAGTATGTTCTTGTAAATGTATAAATTTAGAAAACAAAAGTAGAAAAATATTTGATGAAATAAAATTTTCTAGGGTCACGACACTACTGCAAGTGCACTAACTTTTGCTTTGAGTCTTTTTGCTAAGCACAAAGATGTCCAGGTAATACATTATTAAAAAATGAATCGTTGAATTGTTTCGTTAATTTTAATAATTTGTTTTTAATACTAATGAATAATGATATTAACTTTAAATAAAAAGTTTTATCGGTACTCGAATTCGATCAAAATTTATTAAAATTTACAA